TTGTTTGTAGATTTTATTTTAATATATCTTTTAAAATTTTCTCATACTTTTTATATATACATGTATAAAAACACACTGCCAAAAATGACTTATAAGAAAGACTCTTGTAGCCCGGCTGGCATGGCTCAGTGGTTGAGCATTGACCTAGGATCTAGGAGATCGTGATTCAATTCCCGGTCAGGGCACATGCCCAGGTTTCGGGCTTGATCCCCAGCAGGGGGCATGCAGGTGGCAGCTGATCAATGTCTCTCTCATCATTGATGTTTTTCTCTCTCCCTTCCTCTCTCTGAAATAAATAACGATATATTAAAAAAAGACTTGTATTTTTAAAAATATATATATTGATTTCAAAGAGAGGAAAGGAGAAGGAGAGAGAGAGATAGAAACATCAGTGACGAGAGAGTCACTGATCAGCTGCCTCCTGCACGTCCCCACCTGGGGATCGAGCCTGCAACGCGGGCATGTGCCCTGACTGGGAATCGAACACCGATCACCTGGATCCTAGGTCGACGCTCAACCTCGGAGCCACGTCCAGCCGGGAAGACTTGTCATTTTTAAAAAAGCTATATATATACTAACTGAAAAAAATTTGGACTATATGGTGCAAGGAACTATGTAAAATCTCTGTTACTCCCTTCCCCAAGATAATAGTTTTCATGATTTCGTTATATATTTTCTGTGTGTATAGGTGCATATATAATATTTATAAAACTGTAATCATTGTGCATTTTACCACTGCAGGTACCACATCATTAATGTTATTAAATATTTTGTATGCCAGGGACTGGCATACCAAAACAGCCAATATATGGTCCTACTCAAACCATTTTGGAGTTTCTACTATAAAGGCACCTCATGGGTGGATGATAGCAGTTTCATACTTCTAGGACTTTGGGTTTTTAAGAAATCACTTAACTTTTTAAATTTTCTTTCCTATTGTGAGATGAGGGGGTATTTGTATTTGGGATGGGGGATCAGCATTTTTTCTTTGTTCTGAGTGATACTGTATCTTAATTTGATAGATTGCAGTGTATTAAGGTTATTTTGAACTAAACTTCCAAACATACTTAAAAGTGGGGAGAATAATGAGTCCCTGTATACTCATCACCCATGTTTAAAATATTATCAAGATTTGCCACATTTGTCTTAGCTCTTGAAGGTTTTTCTTTTTAACGGACTAAAGGAAATTTCATATTATGTCATTTTTACTTCTACATTTTTTTAAAAGACATCTGGTCTTCATTTTTGGACTTCTTTACACTGAGGAGGATCATGGTTTACGATGTAGAGGCCATTTAGTTTCGTCAATCTACAGAATTTCTTATAATAGGAATGCCTCACACTTAGAATAGAACCTTGCTTTCCAAAGTCTCCTTGAGGTGTTCAGATATTTACTCTCTATCCCCCTGAGAGAGACTTTCTGAGGGAAATTACTTGAAAGAGGTGTTTTCTGTTTTTTCTTTTTTTTTTCTTTTTCCCCCTCAGTCCAATTTGCCTATTGTTTTTTTTTTTTTTAATATATCTTTATCGATTTCAGAGAGAGGAATCGAGAGAGAGAGCTAGAGATAGAAACATCAGTGATGGGCGAGTCATTGATAGGCTGCCTCCTGCATGCCCCTCACTGGGAACTGAGCTTACAACCCGGGCATCTCCTGGATCATAGGTCGATGCTCAGCCACTGAGCCAAGCCTACTGGGTGAAAGAGAGATTTTCAGTAGAAAATCATAGAGTAGGTATATATTTTACCCAAGGAGGGTAACAACATCCCATTACTGCCCAAAGCAATGCTTCTGTTCCTCTTATTAAGCCCCTTGGCCTTCATTTCTTCTCTTTGCTTTGCCTTCTCTTCTGGCTTCTGTTTATCTTTATCTTTATTATTATTATTATTATTATTTTATTTTATTTTTAAAAAATATATCTTTATTGATTTCAGAGAGAGGAAAGGAGAGGGAGAGAGAGAGATAGAAACATCAATGATGAGAGAGTCATTGATCGGCTGCAGCCCGCAACGCGGGCATGTGCCCTGACTGGGAATCGAACCCCGATCGCCTGGATCCTAGGTCGACACTCAACCACTGAACCACACCCGGCCGGGTCTATTATTATTATTTTAAATATATCTTTATTGACTTCAGAGAGAGGAAAGGAGAGGGAGAGAGATAGATAGAAACATCAGTGATGGGAGAGTCGTTGATCGGCTGCTTCCTGCATGCCCCTAACTGGGGATCGAGCCTGCAACCCGGGCATGTGCCCTGACTGGGAATCAAACCCTGATCACCGGGATCCTAGGTCGACGCTCAACCGCTGAGCCACGCCCAGCCGGTCTTCTGTTTATCTTTAGTCATTCCCTAGCTGGGCATGTTTTTTGAAAATGTTATTAGTCTGGTAAAGTCATTGATGAGCCAGCATTTACTTTCCACCTACCGTCCTGATACCCATTGGCCAAGGGCCTGGTACCTTCCCAAGACCAGTTATGTCTCTCATCTTCCTTCAGGTCTTCTACCTACCTGCCCCTATCATTCCTGACCTTCCTTATTTCTCCCATTAACACCTGCACTGAGTTCCATTGTCCAGGACTCTGATAGGTAGTTGGCTATTCTAGGCAGTTTTGTTTTTGTTTTTTAGCAAAGTTGTTAATCTACAATCTTAACTATTCACCTTTAAAACATAGTGTTGATTTCTGGTATAACTTTAATACCAGAAAGTTACTGAAAGTTCTTGATATCTGGTATCTAAATTTCTCTGATCGGCTAAAGTTTTTAACATATAAATCCAATCAAGTGTTTATACCCTGTAATGCTCTCATTAAAACAGCCATATTTCTTTTTCAGATTAGTGATGATGAACCAGGTTATGACCTAGATTTATTTTGTATACCTAATCATTACGCTGAGGATTTGGAAAAGGTGTTTATTCCTCATGGACTCATTATGGACAGGTTAGTAAGATCTTAAATTGAAGTTTTTGTCTTATATTAATTTCAGGTGTCAGCAACTGTTTTAAGTAGTTGATATTTGACCATAAACTAGACCAGCTCATCAAAGAACAGATGTTTTTTTTGTTTTTTATTTTTTATTTTAAAAGCCTTCTTTATAAAAAAGGCAGGCAGGGCTTACTAATTACCCAGCATAAGTCATGGTATACTGGGAATCTGTAGGGAGTAGAATAAAGTAAACATTGAAAGGAGATTGGAAGAATGAACTTTAGTCACAGTCTTTGATTTCTCAACCCTGAACCAGGGTAATGGGCTGGGACTGAATCACATGAACGCAACATGAAGCTTGAGATTTTCCCCTTAAGTAAATCACAGTGAAAAACTTTATTTGGTATTTAAATACTTGCCTTGTGTATCAGGTTATTTTGGTTTTGATTTTTAAATTATAATATCACTACACGTGTATTGTGAAATTCTAACTGTAGAGGCTGTAAATAAGAGTAGAGTTCTCTCCTCTCAGCCTGCAGTGCATATTTCCAACCTCCCTGTGGGCTATGCACATATAGTATATGCAAATGTATACATATGTTTTAACACATGGGTGTGTACTATCATAAAGGTCTAAAATTTATTGGACATTTAAAAAAATATATCTTTATTGATTTCAGAGAGAAGAAAGGAGAGGGAGAGAGAGAGAGGAACATTAATGATGAGAGAGTCATTGATTGGCTGCCTCCTGCATGCCCCCAACCGGGGATCGAGCCCGGAACCTGGGCATGTGCCCTGACCGGGAATCGAATCCCAATCACCTGGATCCTAGGTCGACGCTCAACCACTGAGCCACGCCTGGCCGGGCTATTGGACATTTTTTCATATTAGTATATTCGGAGCTGACCTGTATATTTTAAAGGTTGTATATAGCATTCCATTTTCTGGCTGTGCCATAATTTAACCAGTCCCCTGTTGATGGACATGCAAGATTTCTCCATTGTTTTGCTTTTATAGATCATACTAGAAGGAAACATCCTTTTATACATATTTGGGCACTTGCTCAACTTTATCCACATGGAAATCCTGGGTCAAGTGGAAGGTGTTTATTGGATGTTTTGAAACTGCCAAATTATCCTTCAGAAAGTTATGTTAATTTATATTCCCAGTGATATATGAGAGTACTGTTTTCCTCACATTTTCTTCTAATATTGTATATTGTCAGAGAAATTTCATTTAATCAGAATTTGCCAGTCAGGTGAAAATGGTATCTTATTTTATTTTTAATTTTTTTAAATATACCTTTATTGATTTCAGAGAGAGGAAAGGAGAGGGAGAGAGAGAGAGAGAGATATCAATGATGAGAGAGTCATTGATCGAGCCTGCAACCTGGGCATGTGCCCTGACCAGGAATCGAACCCTGATCACCTGGATCCTAGGTCGACGCTCAACCGCTGAGCCACGCCCAGCCAGGCGGTATCTTATTTTAAATTGCATTAAAAAAATTATTATAAATGTTATAGTGAACCTGGCCTTTGAAGGTTTTTGAAGTTTTTGTCTTTGCCTTATGAAGCAAGGATATACTTCATGGGGGCAAAGGATGTATTTTGTGGAGGTTAATGCTTAAGGGGTGTTCGTTATAAAGTTTAAGTGTATTTCTATTATAATATAAATTACTTTCTATTAAATTCCTAATTTTATTTCTGTAGGACTGAACGTCTTGCTCGAGACGTGATGAAGGAGATGGGAGGCCATCACATTGTAGCCCTCTGTGTTCTCAAGGGGGGCTATAAATTCTTTGCTGACCTGCTGGATTACATCAAAGCACTGAACAGAAATAGTGATAGATCCATTCCTATGACTGTAGATTTTATCAGACTGAAGAGCTACTGTGTAAGTATATTTACGATATATGCTTATTCAATAAAAAATAAAAATAAGACATGGCAACTCTAGGTTTTCATGTATGCTTTTAAAGTTTTGCAAACTATACTTACATGTTCATTTCACTTGGTTACAGTGAGATTTTCTAATATATTCACCAGTACATTATATTTAAGTGGATATCGTCTTTTTCAGACTATTCACCTTAGAGGTTATATACTTAAATGGTTTTAAATTTTTTTTTTTTTTTTTGAGTTTTAAAAACCTTTTTAAGAATTGCTGTTGGGAGTTGGGTGATACTTTTTTGACTGTATTTACTGGTGGCAGATATCTTCTCTGGAGCTAGATTGGTTTGCAGGGAAGTCGAAAGGCATTTGGAACTAGGTCTGATAAGTAAGGTAGGTCAACAATTATTTCCTAAAAAGCACATACGGAGCGAGCGAGAGCATTGGCACATTGAAGAAACCACTTTTGATTCATAGTTACTACGCCAGTGGTACACGATCTCAAATGCTTCAGAATATTGACACTGGATGAACCAAAATTAGTCAGATCTTTACACATGAATTTCATCATTCACAATTTTTTTGATCATGTGAAAGTTTGATTTTTATTACTTCATACTATTGCTTTGTTTCTGGTTGCATGTTGGCAGTGTAGATCCTGTGAGTTACTGTTTTCCTTAAAAATGGGATTTCTCCAAGCTTCTTCAAAGGTTAGAATAAATGCCCAGTCTTCGCTTTCATGAATCAGTATCGTAGTACATCTTTGTAGAAAATCAGCTTATGTTTACATTTTCATTGAGAATAACACCACTTACCTACATTTAACTTTCAACCTTCATTCTCTCCGTTAATCATCTATTTGACTCAAGTTGTTGACCTTTTTCACATTTTCATCAGTCCAGTGGGTGATTAGATAACCACTTAAGTACTATAGACATTTTCCCTATCCCACTAAAACCCTTAATGCTCACATATCATGACATTACTTTGTATTTATAAGCTCCTTTTAACTTGTCAGCGTCTTCTCTGAATTAAAGACTTGTTTAAATATAAAATTTGGAATTTTGCTCAACAGAAGTTATTTATTTCTTTTGTTAGTTTACACTCAGATTTAATTTTAGGCAGTATAGCTGCCAACAGTATAGCTGCCCAGTTTTTATTTTATTTTATTTTTTGAAAGCTGCCCAGTTTTTAATATATTGTTGCTTAGAGTCAAAACATGTGCTTAAGGTCCATGGTATGATTTCTCTTTGATCTTCTTAAGCACCCCACCCACACACACATAAAAATTAATCTTGCTGCTTTATGACTGATACTTCATTCCTCTGGGAATTTGGGCAGAACGTTCTTTCTTTGAAAAGAAAACTCGTAAAACCAAGTGAGGGGACTTTAATATTTTCTTTTAAAAAGTATTTTATAGCTGTAAGAGCAATTTGAAGCAAAGGAACACTTTGACATTTTAATTTCATTTTCTACTTTTAGTTTTTTCTCTCATTTGTTTTAGATCTTAGGATTATTAAGCTGAACTTCTCAACTGATTAAAAAAAGGAAATTTTAAACATAAGCAAATCAAATTTTAAGGTTAATTTCACTTAGAGGAAAGTAATATCTGTTCTGTTTTATGTGAAATTCTGTGTAGATTTACTGCTAAGCAATAGAAAGTAAGAATACCATCCATATATTTTAATTTTTCAGTTTGTCGTGGAAGAGATTCACATGTCCATCTAAAAAACCCAGGCAACTTAATTTGATAAAGTTGTAAAATGGAAATTTAAAATTGTTTGCAGTATCAGTAACATTGATGCTAGTATAGTTTTACATGCTGATCTTGACCAGCTTGAAATAGTGAATTAAACATTGACTGATCTGTACTAATCCTAAAGAAATGCTCAATGAACTATTTATTAAATATTCCTAGAATATATAAAGAGCCATAACAATGTCAATACACCCCATCTATTTTTCTTCAAAATAAAAGTTGCATTTTTCTGATTAAAAAACATATTTATTATAAAAACATACAACCACAAAAGTTGTAAAGGAATTAAGTCACCCTAAATTCCACTACCATTTTTATTTCTAATATTTTAAGTAATTTTTTCTTTGAATACACACACATGTATATTATAATTTACCTACTTTTATCAAAGAAGCTAGGCAGGATTTTCTTTGCTTAGCACCTAGATGGGAAATTGACTGGGGATTCCAAATACCGTATTTCATTAATTATAAGATACCACTCATTTTAAGATTTACCACTATTTTTTGTACTAAGGAAAAAGACACTCAATTATGGTAGTAAGTTCTAATCAATTGTAATATGTTGATTTCTGAGGTATGAAAATGTGAATGCGCATCTTAGAACAATGAAATGTTAGTACAATATATTCAATGCCCTTTACTATCCCTAAAGCTTTGTGATTTTCAGAAAAATTAAACAGTTGATAAGTATGCAAATGTATTTTCTCTATTTTGAGTTCAAATTTTGTAGTATTTTTTTTACTAAAATAATTTAATAAAAATAATGAAGCCTTAGGAGGAAAATTCGTCAGACTTTTTTGTGGGAATATTTTTGTGTGAGCCTTAAGCAAAGGGAAAATTTGCCTGATTTTTGAGTTATGTGTTATTATCTCCGTGTACATTTGAGACAATGATGTGTGGAGGGATTAAGTGCTATGCCCAAGATTGTGCAGGTCTTTGATTTGAACTGAAGCCTTTAACCCTGTGCAGAACTCAAGTCTTATTTGGGAAAACTTTTAACTGACTTGGATCCTCTAATATGGGCTTTCTATTATTTCTTCCTTCCCTGTTAGTCATAGTTTTGCTTGCAAACAAAATTCATTTTGCCAATTACGGAATATCCCCCTCAGTTGCATTCAGGGTTTATAAAGCTATAACTTTAGTCTTGATCTTAGAAGTTGCTTGATTAGTAGCTTGATTAGGCTATCTGTTTACTTTATTGTGTCAAATATGCAAATTACTTTATAGTAGTTTGTAATAAGGTGGCTATTTGAGTGAGCTTGTTAAAGAAAATGCTTTGCCTGGCCGGATGTGGCTCAGTGGTTGAGCATCGCGACCTAGGATCCAGGAGATCATGGTTCTATTCCTGGTCAGGGCACATGTCTGGGTTGTGGGCTCGATCCCCAGTCCGGGGCCTGTAGGAGGCAGCCGATGAATGACTCTCTCATCATTGATGTTTCTATCTCTCTCTCTCCCTCTCCCTTCCTCTCTCTAAATCAATAAAGATATATTAAAAAGAAAATGCAGAAAATATTGCTATAGTTCCTTTTATTTTCAAGTATTTGATAGCATCGGTTTCTTTATTAATTTATTTTTAAAATGTATCTTTATTGTTGAAAGTATTACAGATGTCCCCTTTTTTACGATAGTTTCTTAGAGTGCCTCTTAGAAGAGGTCAGTAGCTTTCAGTCTGACAGTTTTCTCTATATTTAGTCAGTTGCTTTGAGGTATGCTTTTTTCTCCAGAACAGTTGACGTTAAATACAAGTATACCTCTTTGAATTTGACATTAGATAATATAAAGCTTACCTTCTATAAATCTATGCCTATTTATATGTATATAAAGCTAGTGAAGTGATTTATATCTTTCTTCTACTTTTTGAATTTAGACCATAGACACGGGTGGAGGAAAGAATTTGCTTAGTTTAAATTGGCAGGAGTGGGTGTATATACAATCCGTGGTATAAGGAAACTAATAGAACCAGGGTCAAAAGTCCACTTTCTAGCCCTTCCCTGTGGATTTTCACTTTGTTGTAGTTCTTGTTGGGCAACTGAGGTTTTGCATAAGCATCTCATTCTTAGAACATAAAGGCAGTGTTCATTTGGTCCTGTGAAACCACAGATTTTGTCAAAAAAAAGTTAAGGAATTAGATTAATTCACTTAGCAAACACGTATTGATCATCTGTTGTATTTAAGGTACTATCTTAGGCCATGTTAAGTAGTTCTATTGAACACGTTTATTTTATCAGATCCTAGTCCCAAATCAGATATTGAATGAAAAGCATAAAGATAGGATGCAATAATTTCTGAAGGTTTGAAAATGGTGTACTTGAAAATACCCGGTAGTACTAACTCTTCAAACTTTTCTAGTGTTATGTATGCTAAATGGTATCTTTGATATGATTAGAGCAGTACTAACCAATAGAACTTTCTGTGATGATAGAAATAGTCTATATCCGTGCTGTCTAATACAGAGCTACTAGCCACATGTGGCTGTTGAGCACTTGAAATATATCTTGTACGACAGAGGAACTGAATTTTTAATTTTATTTAACTTTAAATAATTGCCACATGTGCTTAGTGGCTACTGTATTGAATAGTGCAGGATTAGATGATCTATAAGCGCCCTGCTACATCAGCATATTTTTAAACTTCTAATAGCTTTTTATTTTATTTTTTTATTATTTTAAAAAAATATATCTTTATTGATTTCAGAAAGAGGAAACGAGAGGGGGAGAGAGAGATAGAAACATCAATGATGAGAGAGTCATTGATCGAGCCCGCAACCCGGGCATGTACCCTGACCGGGAATTGAACCCCAGGTGCCTGGATCCTAGGTCGACGCTCAACCGCTGAGCCACGCCCGGCCGGGCTCTAATAGCTTTTTAAAGAAATGTGTTATTTTGAAAGAACTCATAAAATGCAGGTAAATAAATTAACTTATTATCTGGGCATATATCCTTCCAGACTCACTGTTTTTTGCATATCATTTTAGAAAATTGGGTATCTGCCATTTTTCATTTGAGGTTCAGTATATCTCTAAAAGCATATGATTCTAATATTCTCACTTTTGTTGATGTTCGATCAGGGTATAGGAAAACAGTTAAAGGATGGGGGATGGTTGAGATTATATGAAGAGAAAACATAATTGAGTGTGGTGGACTTGAGGCCCAGCTGGATGTAGAGGGAATGACTTTCCCCCAATAACTTTATTCTAGGGTCCTGAAAAAATGATGTGAAGTTCACTGGAAAAAGCAAGCTCTGCATAGTGCTAAGCCACTAAATGCTAAGCCCAGACTTTCTCCCTTACTAATACTCCTAGTCTTGCCCTCTTGGGACCCCAGCCTTGGTGATTGGTCTCTCTGCATCTTCTCCTTATGGTCTCAACCTATTTGTTCCATCAATTCTTTTGCCAGCCTATTCATTATGTGTTTTTACACAGCTTTCTTTCTTTTCCTATACCAAGCTGCAGGTCTTGTTACTACTTAGAGGTTTACAGAATTTCTAGTGATAGACAAATAGAAATAAACACAGTTCCTTTGTATTTCCTTTCTCATTTTTTCACCTGGACTCAAGAAAGGTAGACAAAGTGGAAACACAGGTGCTAAGGGTATGTATTTGTAGACCCAAATTGCTTCTCTGAGAATTTTATGTAGTTGACAGTGACACTCTGAGTTTAGGACAGATTGGGCTCTCTGGCTGCAAGGAATGAGGAGGTGGAATGATAGAGAAGAAGGAAAAGCAACATGTGGCAGGGGAGGGGGTCTCTCCCATCCACTGTTCCAGTCCCATTATCTCAAGATGAGGCACATAAGGATTACTCAGTAATGTAATGAAGCAGGGATACAGTGGGAAACTTGTTCCAGACAGGAAGGGAGGGAGAGAGGTAAATTCTCCTGGTGAGACAATTCATCCATGGATGTTATTTATATGTAATTTGGACACCTATTACTTGTATTCTAGCATATTGGACTGAAACATTTTTCTTAAATGAATCTTTATTAGCCTCTGTTTAAAAGATGGCTGTGTTTCCATGAAAAAAGCCTCAGAAGAGACTTGATTTAAGCTAAAAACCTTAGGGCAAACAGGAATATGGAGATTTGGGTGCTAGTGGAGCAGCAGTGTCTTGAATACTTAGAATTCCCTTGTCCCTTACCCTGTCACTAGAGCCTTTAAATCATAGGGATTTTTTTTATGCCTCCATGATTTTTAGTTCTCAGATCTTTACTCCTTTTCTCTGTAAAAGGATCAATTGAAGTTGGACTGTAATACCAAATTTCTACAGAAGATGTCACTGTTTAACTTGATTTACAGTGTAAATCATTTAGCATGAGTCACTCATTGAACCATTCAAGTTTTGTACAATATTTTGCTATTAATCAGTTCTCTGTATTTGAAACGCTGGGTTTTAAATTATTTAGCATAAAGGATGTGTATAACTTTCTTAAGATGAGAAGTAATATGCAAGATTTTTTTATATCAGAAGTCATACATCTTCTGTTTAGTTTGCAACACTGAACAGTATTGGCCTGTTGGTGTTTTTCTAGAATAACACACCATTAAAAAATGGACATGTAGATAGAAGCATATGACAAAAATAGAAGTAAATAAACGTAAAAAGTCTTCTTATCCCCATTTTCACTATTTATATATAATTGCTGTTATAAACTTTTAAAAAATGCTGTACAAAAAATGGTTTCATAGGCAACACATTGCTCTACTACTTGGTGTTTTAAATGATCATCGTTCCATGTCAGATTGGATAGATTATCAGATTCTTTTCAGTAGGTGCATGGTATTACTTTGTGTGGATGGACTTAATTTTAATAGTTCCCTATTAATAGACATGTTGGGTTTCTCCAGTGTTTTTTTTTGGTAAACAGTTGATACAGTGAATATCCTTGTATGTACCTTGCATACTGTGAGTGTTTTTGTAGCTAGCATCGATTCCTGGAAGTGGGATTGCTGGAGCAAAATGGCATGCATGTTTACAATTTTAATAGGTATTGCCATATTGTTTTCAAAAGAATTTGTACCCATATAAATTGGTACTCTCACCAACAAGAGTACTTTTTTTTCTTTCACTTTTGCCAACATATATCATCAGGGTTAAGTTTGCCAGTGTGAATGGGTGAACAGTAGAACACATTGTTTTAGTATTTGTGTCTCAGATATCATTTTATATGTTATGGCCTTCTTTTCTGTGAATGGCCTATTTGTGTTGTCTATTTTCCTTTTGAGTTCTTATTCTTGGAATATTTGTTACAGATCTTTTGTTTCAGTTTGGGTTCATGTCATGCCTAGAGTTTTACCCTTTCGAAGAATGTGAAAATTTTCTTCCATTCTGCTTATGGCTTTATTTTTTACATTTAGATTTTAATCCATCTGGAATTAATTTTTGTGTATGCTGTGAGGTAGGGATCATACTTTACTTTTTTCCCAAGTGGATAACTAGTTGATCAGACACCATTTATTGAATAATTAATCTTCTATTTACTGACTTGAAATACCATCTTTATCATATACTAAATCCTCATATATTTCTGGATCTGTTTCTGGGCTCTGTTTTGTTCCTTGGTTGCTTTGTCTATTACTGTGCCGGTACAGCACCATTGTAATTGCTGTAGCTTTGATATGGTTTGCTCTCTGGTAGAGCAAGTCCAAGCTCTTTTGTTTACCTGCTCTTTCACCTTAGGTTTCTGTCTTGAATCCAGCGCAGCCAAATTATGATCATTATCACCACCCACTATAGTGGGTATGCAGAATTCTCCTTTGAAACTCTGTAAGAGTTTCTACCGGATTCTGTGATATCAGAAAACTGGGAGCCTAAGAGGTATGCCTTAAAAGACTGCTGATCGGACTTCATTTCCCAGACTTGGCTGAAGATGAACTGGACCTGGGCTAGACTTTTCAGAGAAATATCTTTGGGGTTGAGTATGATATAGACCAGACCCTTTAGCTTGCTTGACTCATGGGAATGTTCCAGGGCCAGAACCAGACACCTGCCATGCTAATAACTTTCCTCATGGTTCAGAAATTACTGTGATTGAAGATGGGTCATTGCTCTAATACTGCCCACTTGAAAGTGGGTGCACCATATTTTTAGGATCCTTGAAGCATCAAGTCAGTAATGGTCAATTAGAACTTTTTAATTTTTACTAATCTCTAATTGAAAGTTATCTAGTCACTCATTTCTAGAAACATAATTCTTATAATGTGTTCATTTAGAATATCATAATGCTGTGACATTAGATAGCTAACTTCTTAAATCTTCTAGTTTCCACTTGATAATATGAAATATATATATGTGTGTATGCATATTATTTACATCTTTTTTTTACTAGAATGACCAATCAACTGGGGACATCAAAGTAATTGGTGGAGATGATCTCTCAACTTTAACTGGAAAGGTATGTATCTTCAAGGAGAAGAAAAGAGCCCTTTATACAAAGAGTCAGTTAGTAACACTGCACTGTCAATCAGTCACTAGGAGGCAGTTTACCTAGTTATTTATGCACATAGGTGTCTTTCTTTAGGTCATATATTATATACCAAAGAGGCAGCACTTATGGACTTTTAAATTTAAAAGTCCATATTATATTGCCAAGTACTGCAATCTGCCTCTGTGGGGATCTAATTTGGGATCCTTAAAATATATATAAGGGAGAAAGACAGTTTTTAAAAAAAATAGATTCACAAATAATTTCTTTTTATCTATTTATTTAAAATTGATTTGAGAGAGAGGGAAAAGGGGTAGAGAGAGAGAAAAAAAAAAAGAGAAAGAAACATTGATTTGTTGTTCCACTTATCTATGCATTCATTGGGTGATTCTTATATGTGTCCTGACCGGGGATCAAACCCTCGACCTTGGCATATCGGGATGACGCTCTAACCAACTAAGCTATCGAGCCAGGGCACACATAATTTCTTAAAAGATAGAGGAGCAGTATCATATAGTGGCTGAAAGTGAATTCTGGAGCTGGACAGCTTTGGTTTAAAGCCTGGCTCAGTACTTCCTAACATGTGATGTTGGACGGTTTATTTAACCTCTCTATCTTCCATATGTAAGGTGGGGATGGCAATCACCTCATAGAAATAAGAAGATTAAGGGAAATAATGTAGAGTTCTTACAACAGTTTTTGGAGTTAGAATACTCAGTAAATGCAAATATACTATTATTTTGAGAAATCTCAAAAAGAGTTTTGTTTTTTTAAAACATCAAAATTCTTGCAGTATAGAAAATTGGCTGAACTATTAGAGATAATAAGATGTTTGAATATTTTTCTTTTGATACATGAAATGATTATTGAGTAACCAATAATAGATAATTGAATACTACTTTTTTTTAAGCTGCCATTTATTTTTTACTTATAAACTCTGTGCCAAATATAAAAGTTTCACAGCAATTCCATGAGGTGGGTATTATTATCCCCATTTCACAGATCAGGAAAGTAAGACTCAGCAAGGTTGAAGGACTTATTCAAAGTCACGCTGCCAGTAAAGTGGTAGAGCTTGTTTTTGAGTCTAGGCCTGTCAGACTCCAAAGCACTTTTCTTCCTCTGGCGTTTTACGCTTTAATGTTCACAGAGTATTTGACTGAGTATCTATAAGGAAACTTTAACCTACAGCACTTGTGTCAAATTCTGTGGTCCCATATCAGAGTTGTGCTAAACTAATGTCCTCTTCAACATCTTTGGAAAACTTTTAAAGGAGAAATTATAATCTGTTGATCCTTTCCCCTCCCTGTCTGTCCTCTGCACCACTGCCAGACTGTCCTCCCTCCCTGTCAGCATTCTTTTCCATATTTTGAAGTCATTTGAAGCCCTTACTTCTGCAGTCAGTTCTTAGTGCTGGAAGGGACCTAGCCTTCACCTTCTGTGATTTTATTTGATTTTGCTGTTCCCACTTAATGGCTCTGTCCCACTATGTAGCTCTGTGATCTTAAAAGATTTATTTCTAAAATAACTTTCTTTTCATGATAGTCACAGTAAAACACATTTATTGAGGAAAAAAATCAAGACATAAATTGAAATTATTTCTTGGTTGGTTAGATTATGGGTTATTTAGACAGTCTATTTTAGTTTATCTTTTTGGGACACTATGTGTGTGCAGATATGTATGTTTATTAATATTCCTCCCCCTTTTGCAGTTAGTGAATTAGAATATGTGAAAACACCTCTTCAAATATCTATCTACTACTTGACTATTTTTGTGACTTTAGGCAAGTCATTGATCTCTGAGCTTCATTTTTTTTTCATTTAATAAGTAAGGATGTAGCTATTTGACATAAAATAAGCTCTGAATAATGGTAGCAATTCTCATTCTTTTATTTTTTAAGACAGTATTGATGTCTCTGGCCTTTATTTGTATAAAATGTCTCATCCCCGTAAAAGTCTATGATTATGACTTAATCAAGGTTATGTAGCTACTTAGTATTAGAGCCAAAACTAGAATCCAGTTTCTCTGTCTCCTAATTCAGTGATGTTTTCAAACTGTAACTTCATCCTATGGTGCTCATCGCTGCAGCAATGAGCCACAGGTACTGATAGGAAAATGACATCCTTCAGATGTCTAGCTAAGGTAGGGTAAATCTTGAGAAAGAACCACATAGTAGGTGGTGAAACAATTATTGGTCTGTTAATTATTAGATTCAATTTTACTAAAGATTTAAATTGAAGTATCTTTTGAAAGATAAATTTGTCGTGATATGAAGAGAGGAGTAAATTATATATGAACTGTGGTAGTAATATTATATATATTGTAAAGTATATGCAAAATAATAGGTTATACAAAGTGAGGTTTTAAAAACGTTCTAATATTTCTTTCTGGCAACCCAGTGGATCTTGTGTGCCCTACTTTGGTAACCACTGACTTAGAAGAATATATAGAACATGAAAATTCTTATGCTACACATATGTGCCAGAGAAATGAGAACTAAAATAAGCAATACAGTATGGATCTTATGACAATGATTATAACCAGTATTGTGAAATGCTACTTTATTCCTATAACCAACATAAGAACAAATAGGACTCTTCTCTACCTTGGAGGTAGTTTCATGGTATTTTCTCTAAAGGATTCTTCCAGCTATAAAATTCTGAGAGTTAGAAATTGGGGTGAAGTTTTATGGTGGGAGGAAGCAAAGATTGGTATCTTTTTATAGTTTAGTCTAAGAATGTGAACACATCCAGAAAATGCAGAACAATTTCAGTCTAATGAGTAAATGGGTTTTGAATTGGATTCCATATGGTAAGTTAAATGCATGATTTTGCAGTTATTTTCTAAATTATAGTTCTTGAATTTTAGAGTCAAAGACACATACTCATTCAAGTCCCTTATTTTACACATAGGAAACTGAGGCTCAGAGAAATTTTATGACTTGCCCAAGATTAGATCTCTGTTTAAGTAATAAAAACTTTTTAAAAATGAACATATGGGTCGAATTTTATTTTTAAAAATTCCATTGCAGTGAAAATTTCATATTAAAGAGTTCCAAATCCCAACAGATGGAATTTGTTATGATGTGATTTGAGTTATAATTAGAAACACTGTCTGATTCATTGTACTGATTTTCATTTCTCTTTTTCTTCTAGAATGTCTTGATTGTTGAAGTAAGTTCTACATACTTTTAATATAGTGTTTATGATTTTCTAACTTAGTATGCACTGTCCTAAAGGTAAGCTAGGGAAAGAAATTCCTTTTCATCAATTTTAATGGTGTTATGAGAGAATGAGATTGTTTTTTTGTCAAAAATACTTTGTAATTTATTTGTACTGGGTAATGGAAAGTTTTGGTATATTTCTTACCCCTCCTTTTGGCTTGAATTTTTTTTCTTTCTTTTAAAGTTAATGTATATTAGCCCTGGCCCTTGTGACTCAGTTGCTTGAGCATCGTCCCATGCACCTAAAGGTAGCCAGTTTGATTCCTGATCGGGGCACATCTCAGGTTTCAGGCTCAATCCCCAGTAGGGGACTGCAGGAAGCAGATAATCGATGTTTCTTTGTCCCTCTCCCTTCATCTCTCTCTCTAAAAAAAATAAAGTTAAATGTATATTACTCACATGCATGTTTTTAATGCTATTGCATATATGTATCCAAATACACACACACACACACACACATATATTGATTTTTAGAGAGAGATCAAGGGAGAGGGAGAGGAGAAACATTGATGTGAGAAGGAAACACCGATCTGCTGCCTCCTGGCATGCGCCCTACCGTGGATTTAGTCGGAAACCCAGGCATGTGCCCTGACTGGGAATTGAACTGGCAACCTTTCGGTGCATGGGACAGCGCCCAACCAACTGAGCCACACTGGCCAGGGCTACAAAAAATATTTTGATTTAAAAATTTATATAGTGCCACACTATACATATTATCTCTTACAACTTGTTATTTTCACTCAAAATTGTTTTTGAGGTTATTCATGTTGACACATACAGAGTCACTTGGCCATAAAATGCCACATAGCATTGCAGTGTATGAATCAACCAATTTATGCCCTGCAAATAGCTTGTAGGGCTAAAAAGATTGCTTACAGTTTTTCCTACTGCAACAGGGCTGCTGAGAGCGTCCTTTTCACGTCCCAACTCACATTTGTGTGAGTGCCTTCTAGATACAGGCACTTAAAGTAGAATGGGTTGTAGAATTTGTACATTTTCAATGATACTGTTATTGCCAAATTACTTATAAAAGTGGTGTATGCTTTATATTCCCACCAATGGAATGAATTTTCATTCTTTTATGTAAAATGGTTTAAGGCTTAAGAGCTACAGTAAACCTGAATTAATTTTTGTTGTTGTTTTTAAGGCTTTTAGAAACTTTAGCTTATAGATTAAAAATAAACAAATGATACTCTTTTCAGAGGTTTTGTGTACATGAATATCCCTGGGAATGAGTTGCTTTCTTAGAATGTAGATTAATTAATTCCACTTGAGATTGATTCATTTTCTCTGAAGTAGCACTGCCTAATAAATTACCACAAATTTAGCAGCTTTAAGCAACACACATTTATTATCTGTTTCCTTGAGTTAGGAGTCTGAGTAGAGGCTGGCTAGGTCCTCTGTTTCGGGGTCTCATCATGCTGAATCAAGGCTGGGGCTCCTATCTCACCTGTGGCTTATGGGCCTTTTCCAAGTTCATTCAGGTTGTTGGCAGAATTTAGTTCCTGTGGTTGCAAGACTGAGGGCCACATTTTCTTGCTGGCTGCCGAGTAGGAGTTGCTCTCAGCTCCTAAAGGCCATCATGTCGTATCACATGGTCCTCTCACATGACAATTGACTTCTTCAAAACCAGCAGGAGAATCTCTCTCCAGTCTGTTACAATTATCTTGCACAGTATAACCTAATCACAGGAGTGACCGACCGTCCCATTATTTCACAGTTCCCTCTTCACACTCAGTAGAAGGGAATTATTCCTGGTGTCTATACCTGTGGACAGGAGTGTCTTGGATGTCATCAGAATTCTTTCTGCTACAGCCCAGAAATCTGCATTTTTCACTAGTCTCCAGCCCTGATGTTTCTGATGATTCACAGACCTCACTTTGTGAAGCCCTGCTTTCTACCATTTGTAGAGAGTATTTTCATTGAAGAGCATTAAGGTTATGGTTTAAGAAATATTTTCCCAATTAGAGATGGGTTTGTTTTCTGTAATGTCCTACTTTTGACTAACTAAGATTGACTCACATAAAGACAGTTTATATAGTAAAACCTTATTAATTTGGATACTTTTACGATGGTATAAAGCAGAGTTTTGGAAAGTGTGGTCTCTTAACCACCTGCATCTGAGAGTTAGGGGAGAGAGCATCCCAAACTTGAATTTATGAAAAAAATCTAAAATACCTTTTATAATGGAAGACAGCATCATAATTCTCTAATAAAACATGCATTTACATATTTGCATATATATTTATTTAAATTAGTTGTCATTAACCTCTTGGTGCCTACAAAATCCAGTCCTGAGGACTGGCATTCCTACTGCTTGCTCAGAGCCAGATGATTTACAGATTCTAGAATATCTAGTGTATGAATTGTAGCAAGAATTACTGCACTGAAAAAAATTGGCATTATTCCAGTTAAACATGAGATTTAGATATTTTGTGTTTATATAATGAATTTAAAGTTAAGATGGTTTTATTTACCATTTAAATGTCTTTTTTTAAGGATATAATTGACACTGGCAAAACAATGCAAACCTTGCTTTCCTTGGTCAAGCAGCATAATCCGAAGATGGTCAAGGTTGCAAGGTAAATATATATAACATTTTATCATAGGGTGTTTTCATGTAAAAGAGGATTAAGGAATTGCTCTTGTGTAAGGGTGAATATTCTCATTGGTCATTTTATCTTCAAAAAGCAATGTAATCTCAAACTCAGTATCCTTTGTAAATAATCGTGTATTTCTCTGATGACTAATGATCTTGAGCTCCCTTTCATCTGCTTGTTGACTATTTGTATATCTTCTCTGGAGTAGTTATCCATTTAAAGTATGGAGATTGCTTGAAAAATGAGTTACAATCATGCCTTACAGATGGAGCTTTATTGAACATTCAGATCTATAGGGATGTAAAGTGCCAAGTTCTGCTGAACTCTTAGTACACTGGCACTGAGTTTGCTGATATCTTTTCTGGTGTTCCTGAGTTGAGTGCAGTTAAAGGGATGGGTTTTGCTGTGAGTGGTTTGTTCTTTTCTTTCAAAATGGAAATTGAGTCCAGGCATATCCTCTGTTTAATTACTGGAAGAGAATCATGAAGAACTTGATTAGATGATCCTTTGGAGGCTAAGGCTTAGGTTAGTGATTCTCATTCAGCTGCACATTGGAATTACCTGAGAGTTAAAAAAAATACACAACCTCTGTCTGTGTCCCATCCCCAGGGATTCTGATGTCATTGGTCAGGGGTGCGGCCTGGGTAGTTGAGGATTTTTTTTCTTTTTCTTTTTTAAGTTTTCAGGTGATTCTCATGTGCAGCTAAGGTTGAGAATCACTTTAGGTCCTTTCTAGCTCTTTAAATATATTTATCTAGGAAGGTATGAAATCATAAGTTTTATTGGGACTGCCTTTAACACACAAGCAAGGCTTTCAAAGCACCATCTACAGCTTTTTTTAATGGCTAAAAAATTTCAGCAGGCAGCACTTGAGTTACGAAATTCGCTTTTGTTCGAGTTGACTCATCCTACCTGCAGTTTTTGCTCTCAAAAGTAAATACTAGCTCCTTTAGCATGCTAGTTACTTTTTAACCTAAAGTTCCTCTTTGTAAGCAAACTATTCAAAGTCTGGAAAGGTGATGCTTATGTCTCCTACACCCTTTGTGGTTTAGGGATTGTATTTCCAGGGATTTTGAACTGAGCTCTTATCTTTGCTCATTGCCACTCCCCACCCATTTATCTTCCTGATTAGCTGTCCTTCGATGGGTGCGTGGGTAGGTGGGGTGCAGTTCTCAGAACAGTCCATCATGTTCCAGGTGGAGATCAGTCAAGGGCCTCATCTGTAGTGTGAACTCATTGCTATCCCTGCCCAGTGATCCCTGTGATTTATTTAGCTCTCTGTTTCATGGTCTTTCTTTGACCATGGTACACTGAATTCTGATGAAACCATGTTTCAGAACATCGATGTTCTCTTTTGTAATGCCCTGTAGTGTCTATACATGTCACATGTCACATTTTTTAAATTAACAGCTTACTGGTAAAAAGGACCCCTCGAAGCGTTGGATATAGACCAGACTGTAAGTGAATTACTTTTTGTTAATCATTTAACAATCTTTAACCCAAACAAGTTTTATAAATGAAATGGTTTATTTAGAGTTAGAGAATATTTGTAGAGAAGGCTCATTTGATTTGAAAGTGATGTTTTCTGGCCCTGGCCAGGTAGCTCAGCTGGTTGGAGCATTGTCCGGATGCTCCAAGGTTGCAGGTTTAGTCTCCAGTCAGGGCACATACAGAGGTCAGCCAATGAATGCATAATAACTGGAATAATGGCTAGATGTTTCTCTCTTTCTTTTTCTTCCTCTTCATCTCTTTTTCTTTCAAATCAATAAATAAAATTTTAAAATATTTTTAAAAAGAAAGTGATATTTTCTGTATCTAAATGATGAATTATGATTCCTTTTAGTTGTTGGATTTGAAATTCCAGACAAGTTTGTTGTAGGATATGCCCTTGACTATAATGAATACTTCAGGGATTTGAATGTAAGTAAAACTTCTTTTTCTCACTCTCAGTTTTCAGAACCCATATAAATTTACGAAAGAGAATTGTTTTCTCTTCCCAGCACCTCATAATTTGAACAGACTGATGGTTCCCATTAGTCACATAAAGCTGTAGTCAAGTAAAGACGTCCTTAGAGCTGGAACTTGGCCAGACGAGGGTGACATTTCTTGCTGACTGAAATAGTTGAACAGCTTTAATATACAGTAACTGTCCCATTATTATTTCAGATGATAGATGTGGTCCTAAGTAAGAAATAAATGAACTATTTGAGGTCTTTTAATTCACTCTTCTTCGAATATCTGCCTCCTACTCTGGAGGCAGGAGTCCTGAGATTGCATTTATGAGCATAGGTGAGGAAGATTAGGAAGACTACACAAACCTCTGTTTGTTTAGTAAAGAGTCCGGCAGCATAATACTATTAGTATAAGATATGCAAATTGCTGTTCATGCCTCTCAATTTTGAATACACTTTTCTAATGTGAATTTCTGGATTTTTATTTTTTAGCATGTTTGTGTTATTAGTGAAACTGGAAAAGCAAAATACAAAGCCTAAGATGAGAGTTCAAGTTGAGTTTGGAAACATCTGGAGTCCTATTGAAATCACCAGTGAGATTATCAAATGTTCTAGTTCTGTGGCCAGCTGCTTGGTAGAGCTTATTGCATGTATCTTCTAAGAATCTTATCTGTTTTGTATTTTAAAAATGTCAGTTGCTGCATTCCTGAACTCTTTATTTGCACTATAAGCCTAAAGACTATCAGTTCCTGTTGGGTGGATTGTTATTTGACTTGTGAATGAGAAAATCTCTTAAACCACACCACTATCGAATGAAAATATTGAAATTGTATCTGTAAGAAACATTTAAAGAGAAGATATATTAGTTTTTAATTGGTATTTTAAGTTTTATATATTCAGGAAAGTACAGAAGGGATGGAATATTGTTAATTATAACGATGTATGTTTAGAAAAGTAAAAAGCAGTCAGGTTTTGTATCAATGACAGCATATAAGAGATATTGTTATATCAGATAAACCATATGTCCTAGAATTGTACAAGTAGTGTTTCAGTATTACTAACTGTATTTTCCCTCTTGTTCAGATTATTTTTGGTGAATCTTTGTCAACAGTTTCTTTTAGATACAAATCAATAAATTCCAGACTAACATTACCACTTTTTGAATTCATCAATGTAAAAATCCTTAAAATAAAGGCTGTCTCTTTAAAAGAAACTATGCATACCTATCATTTCTCTACAAATTAACCTAGTGTAGTTTTCTTTTGGTTATCTTTTCCTTGTCTGTTAAGTTTTAGTAGCTAGTTTAATTGTAATCTTTACCAAGCATGGTGAATAATGATTATCTGGTAGAATGGATAGGTGGAACTAGCAGAATTCTTACCTGCTTCATTAAATTTCAGACAAATGGTATACCTTATTACATTTTACTATGCTAAAATAACACGACTTTCTCTTGGAATTCTGTTGGAAGTTGTTTAGATTGGAGTCTTATCTGCGTCACAACAATTTGTTTCCAGACATGTACTATTACCTTCTTTGTGTAGATAATACTTGATTCACTGAAGAACAACAACAACAACACCTTTTGTTTTCTGGGAGCAGGAAGAAAAGTTTTATTTATTTATTTTTAATTTTTTTAAATATGGTTTTTTAAATTGATTTCAGAGAGAGAAAGGGAGAGGGAAGGAGAGATAGAAACATCAATGATGAGAGAGAGTCATTGATCTACTGCCTCCTGCACGCCCCCCGCTAGGTATCGAGCCTGAAACCTGGGCATGTGCCCTGACCAGGAATCGAACTGTGACCTCCAGGTTCATAGGTTGACCCTCAACCACTGAGCCACAGCAGCTGGGCAGGAAAGAAAGTTTAAAAAACAACAACAGCAACATGCCTCTTAATTGCTTCTCTACTCCAGGTAAGGTAGGAACTAGCAACCTTGTGAGCCATCTAGCTATATTTATGCCTTAAAAAGTTTGCTATAGTTCCCAGCAGCAAAGTAGGGAACTTTAAAAATTAGTTATAGTCCTAGAACTTTCTAGTTAACAAAACTTTTTCATTTTTGTTATCTCATTTGATCTTCATAATCCTGTGAGGTTGAGTTTGGTGTTACCAAGTATGAGTGTATCCAAGATAACTCCTAATTCCTCCTCACCACCACCCCCCGTCCCAATATGTCACCTCACTGAGGTAATTTACAACTGCAACCTTCTTCCCACTGCTGATTCTCCTTCCTCATCTCTTTTCAGTTGTACTTACCATCTTTATTAGGTTGAACCATATGAAATTACCATTTTTGTAGGTAAAAGTAGTTGGCTATTGGCAATTTTGAGTGGTGTAACCTAATAACATGCTGTATAATTTACATTTGTATTTATTACTCACTGCCCCCCCCCCCACATCTTAAAATGTAAGCTTCTTAAGGAAGGCAAGGGTTTTTATCTCCCTTGTTCATTGATGTATGTTCACCTAGTCCCTTAAAGACAGTAGGAGCTCAGATTGTTTTTGAGTGAATGAATAGCTAAGAGTTTGGGACTAGACTGTCCTGACCTTGCTATGTGACATTGAGTTACTTAACTTTGGAACTAGTCTACTCAACTGACTGATGGGGATAATGCTCCTTCACAGGCTTATTGTGAGAATTAATTAGATGCGATAGCACAGGTAAAATAGGACTGTGGCCTGGGACATACCAAGTGCTCCATAAACGTTAGTTGCTACTTCAAAAATGAATGTTTTGAAAAGTTAGGTACATTGCTAGTAAGAGGCAGAGATTTAGCCCAAAATACATCTGATTCTTGCTATAATATCATGAAGAAGCTGAACTATTTCTTCTTTTGATGCACCCAAGCTCTTGTTTTAGCTGGTTGGCAAACCCAACAAGAAACCCAGCTAACAGCTAGGAAGGAACCTCCTGAAGCTCATGTACTTTTCTAATAAGAATATTCCTCAGACCTTCCTTAACCTGCTTTTGGGGCATACAACTCTAATAATTTTATTTGTTTCACCAATTTTCAACAGAATAGACATAGTCCACTTATAAGATGGGGAAAGGGAGATGCTGACAGGAACAGCAGTAATTTTTAGGATAACAATCTGTCAAAGGAAGAAAAAAGGTATTGACAAGAAAAAAGCTGTAGCCTCCTGGGGCCATTAGTCATTTAGTATAGGAGCAAATGGTCATAAATGTCACACCTCAGTAATCCCTAAGGGCAGCACTCTCATTACAACCCTGTATCATAAGGGATGTTCATAAGGAAAGGAAAATGAAATTTCATTTGCTTGATTATAGGAGATAGGGAAGCATGGACTCTGTTTTAGGAATAGTACCATCCAAGGGAATGTTGGTGCTTAAAGTAAGAGGTAGTAACCTGGAACATTCATATGTATTGAACCCATCATGTTTTCCTGTACTGTGAATGCTTAGAATATTATATGTGTGTCATACCTATAAATATAGGTACATCCCCATTTTAATTCCATGTATAAAAGTTTTATAAATAGTCTGGGCTACTGCTCTAATTCATTAGCTTGGAAAGTTAATCAATGTCCCTACATTTGAGATCCTAGAAACACACTGAGCATCCTCTGTGGGCCAGGTACTGGGGAAGACAGGGCAAGGTCCCAGGTTTCATGAAGATTTCATTCTAGTTGGGCAAAGGGACAGTAAACAAGATAATTTCAAATAGTGGCAGGCTGTGCAGAACCTAAAACAGCAATGTGCCGATGGAGGGGGGTAGGGATGAGGCGTAGACACCATCTGTTAGATAAGGTGGATAGGGAAGGTCTTGGTTGAGACTTGACTGAATGGAAAAGAAACCAGCCACATGAAGGGCTAGGTGTAGACAGTTCCTTGCAGTAGAAATAGCAAATGCAAAAGGTGCTAAGATGGTGACTGTTAACCTAAAAATAAAAGGTAGTTCAAAGTGAGAAGCAACAAGCATTTATTTGAGATCAAAGAATAGCTATTTGGGAAGCACTGATTCAGGCAGAAGCCCGAATAGTGTTTTAATTAGGATACAAAGACGATGGATATTTATGTGAAAAGGGAGAGGAACCATTATATCAATAGAAAGAAGGCATTTCTATAGGTATAGACAACATAAACATAGTGACGTTAATTCTAAACAACGCCTTTTTTTTTTAGAAAAATATATCTTTATCGATTTCAGAGAGAGGAAAGGAGAGGAAGAGAGAGAGATAGAAACGTCAATGATGAGAGAATCGTCATGATCGGCTGCCTCCTGCATGCCCCCAACTGGGGATCGAGTCCCCAACCCAGGCACGTGCCTTGACCTGGAATTGAACTGCGATCACCTGGATCCTAGGTCGGATGCTCAACCGCTGGACCACGCCCAGCCAGGCCCAAAGGTTATTTTGTCCTGTTTTAACATTTCAAAGATTTCATTCCAGAGGATAAGGCATGCAAGGCAGTTCCTCTGGGATGGCAGCCCCGGCTCCATTGTAAAGTGGCTCCTTTTATTTTTTGACATGACATCATCTGAGGTGTTGGAGGGAGAGAAGGAAGGCCTGTATCTGCAATTCAGGAGCATGGTAGGACCTGAGATTGGAGAGGAAGGCCAGGGCCAGACCACGGACAGCCTGGTAGACTGTGGCAAGGAGTGTGGCTTTCTTACATTCTGTGATGGGAAGGCATTGAGACTTAATGCAGAGAGTGAGGAGATTAGGCACGTTCAGGGTGATAAGCGAAATAGGTGGTAAAAATCAAGAACCGTATGATTTCACTCATGGGATACAAAACTGAAAGCAACGAATGAACAAACAAGACAAACAAAAACTCATAGACACAGACAACAGTATGGTGGTTGCCAGAGAGAAACCGGGGGTAGTAAAGGGTAAAGGGGATAAAATAAATGGTGACGGAAGGAGAGTTGACTTTGGGTGGTGGGCACACAGTGCAATATACAGATGATGTATCATAGAATTGGACACTTGAAACCTATATAGTTTTATTAACCAATGTCACCCCACAAGTTTAACAAAAAATTAAAAAGAAATAAAAGAAAACCAGAATTTATGGAAATAAACTTACTGAAATTGAAATAAAAAATGAAATAGGGAGTGAAAAGACTTTATTTGCATTTTTAAAGGCACAAGCATCTCTTAGCCATTCTGCTAGTAGGTGCAGGGTCTTCAGGAATAAAATTGGCAGTGCTAGTAGTAACCACTATTTAATACTTTTAATGTATGTCAGATGCTGTGCTAAGTGCTTTACATATATGATTTTTCTTTATTCACAGCACGTTTCACAAAGAAAACCATTTTAGAGATTCAGTGGCCAAATTAGTGGAGGGAATGCTCCCATGGACAAATTGGCCAGCATTTGTTTTTGGGATTATTGCGGTGGCCTCCCACCAGATCTCTAGTTCCATCCTTGCCCCCCTCCCCCCGACTGACACACACACAGTCTTAACACAGCAGCCAAAGTGATCCTAACTAAAACATTAGTCAGAATGAGTCACTCTTTGGCTCAGATCCTTCCTGTGGCTCCCATTTGGCGAAGAATCTACTCTTTCCCACCTCGATGCTTGATGCTTCAAGCACCCTGGCTGCCACTGTACCACAAGCATGCTGAGCAAGCTCCAGAATCACTCCCTCTGCGTGTGCCGTCACCTTAGCTAGAGCACTCGGACTGCACTGTGGCCGGGGCCTCCCGACTCTTCTCCTTGCCTCCGCTCTTGCCCCTGCACTGCAGTTAGGGTTTTTTTTGTTATTGTTTTAAATTTTATATTGTTGACATTATAATCATTTTATTTTTCTTTTCTCTTTTTGGATGATGAGCTTTGAAAAATATATTTCAGATTATATCACTTGCCTGCTTAACACTTGAAACCTCAATCTATCCTTTGGCCCATCTATAAACCAGCCACTGCTCAGTTGTCTAAGTTCATTTACCCTTCTCCACCTTGCTCACGTCAAACACACTGCTGTTCTTTCAGTGCCTCAAGCCAACCAATCATCCCCCCCTTGTCTTAGGGTCTCTGTAATTGCTGTTCCTTCTACCCACCACTCAGTTCCCCCAGATAAGCCTGGCCAGCTCACGTATCACCCTGGTAGCCTTTCCCTGATCTCCCTCTCTTAACTGCCTCAAAGTCACTCTCTATTACATTACCTCTGTTTTAGTTTCCTCTTGGTTTTTACCATTGTCAAGTGGTCAAGCAGTCCCTAAGTGACAACTGCTACGGCTGCCAGGTT